TTAATTCCACTGATAGGCAATGTAAGTATAGTAATGCTATTTCTGTTATGCTTTGATACAGAAGAATCTTGTTACAGTTTAAAATGTTTGCTTAAATAGTGTTACTTGTAAAAGTGATTGATAATGAGCTTCATTTTATTTTTAGAATCGACTTGTTATCTCATCTACTGGCTCTTAGTGGTATACACTATGGTTCACGTTGTGTTGTCTTCGAGCAGTGTTTGGGTTTGCTAACGTCTGCAGTGATAACACGTTTGGGTGGATCAGGAGCCTGTATCCACCTACATCGTGGGAATATAGCACAAGCAATTCCATGTGTTGATAGTATGGATTTTGATAAAGAGGTTTATTTTCGTGATATATAACTCTTATAGCTTACTGCTGATTTGGAATTTCCCGGAATTACCGCTGAAGATTATGGGATTTTCGAAAAAGTCGTTTTACCACTGAGGGTTTATTTTTTTTCTCTTTGAGGTTCAAGATATTCCAATTACTTCAGATTAGTTCAGTATTTTTGCCGTTATGCATCTCCAGTTTGTTGGAAGAGTCCATGAAGGAAATTGAAGAGCCCGTGAATTTTGTTGCAAAAAAGTTTATCACAGTGGAAACATCTGATGAAAAACAGGAAGAAATAATGGAAATGGATGAAGAGAAACAACTGTCCAATAAGGATGAAAGAATAACAAAACAACAGAAAAAGGAAAACGACATTGCATCTAGAAACGATAACGGGCAGGTAAGTTTCTTGATTTGCTTAACTTAAAGTAAAAATTTGTATTCCAAAAACAAATGGAATTTAATTTTTTAGGATTCATCAGCGATTACTGATAGTTCATTAGAAAGAAGAGCAGAAAGACAACGTTTGCAGAGACAGGCGTGGCAGTTAATGCAAAGTGGTGAAATTGAAATATTATTTATTGCTAGTAAAAATATCAATCCGATAGAAATTTTGGAAAGGACGTGGTCATCTTTGCGACTCTCATCAACAATTGTTATTTATTGTCCAATTGCTGAGGTAAATAAGTTTTTTTAATAGTACCAGAAAAACTGAGGAGCTTGAGGGATAGAGGAATGTTGCTAACAGATGGTATGGTGAGTTTATTACTTATAAATAAAATTATATTAACTATTTTTTATTTGGAGTTATCCATATTGATCATTTTGCAATTTGCAATTGATTTACGTTCTAACTGATCATCGATCTCGCAACCCTTTACGCCGTCTTCAGTTCGTTTCACACAACTTATCATTTATTAATGCGCTTGATCACTAATTACTGTTCGTTCTTGGTGCTACATGTGCTGCATGCATGCAAACGTCCTGCTTATTAATTTGAAAACTTTGCTAAAGTTTTTAGTGATGTTTCCTGGATTCTGAAATTTATCTTGTGAAATACTTCAAGAATTTTTTCTCTTTCAGCCACTATATTCTGCATATTATTGGTTAAAAGCAAAACATGCGGTACAAGTGCACATTGTAGATGCTTTTTATCGTAGTCATCAGGTCATGCAGGATCGTTCGCATCCGATTATGCAACAGTTTATCACTGGCGGTGTCATTCTTTCAGCAGTCAAAGTGGAACAACGATGATCATATTTTTGATTGGAATTTGATTTCTGAGATGGTATTTTGTCATCAAGTTTAAGGCATAATTGTAAAACTGCCTGCCTTCCTTTTATTTGCTTAGCATGCGCCAGTTCGGAGATTTACTTAATTACCAGCAGTAAGCTAATTTAAAAAAGATTATGTTCAATTCAGTGTTTTATGCTTGACGTTCAACGTGTTAAAATAAATTTGTTGATGAATGAAACAGTTATAAATGAAAATGATCAGAACGGTGAACAAAGAACTATCTGATGAATGATCCCTAGCTTTAATGCTATGAATAATCATTCACTTAGAGATATACCTCGTACTCTCCAGTCTCCACTACCGTTAACATTCATGATCGATTTAACAAATTTTTTCACAGATTTCTTTTGCTTTGCAGTTAGCCAAATTATATATAAAACATGTACTTCTTTTTTAATTTATGCAATAAGTAGGCTTTATTTCATGGATGAAATTCGTTTGTAATTTTGGACTTAATAGATTGCTCTTAGAAAAGAGAAATTGAATTCGGTTCATTTCTTCTATTCGATTTTTCGATGTGATGTATTTTTCCGGAATTAAAATTAAAATCTGGATTTCTCAGGTGTAGGAACAATATCAGATTAATGAAGAAAATTGAAAATGCGACGGCGAGTGTTTATGAGGGTTGGGTGAAACGAATTTGTCGTGGGTTGCATAATCAGAGATCGCTGAAGTGATGAAGATCAGAGCATAAAGTGGGATGCGAAGTCACTTCCATTCCAAGCAAAATAACTCCTGGGCTTTCCACATGCCTCATGCTGGGATCGAACCAGCGGCCTTCTGTTTACAAGACAGACGCTCTGCCACTGAGCTAATGAGGCGTCGAACGGTACGACCACGTCAAATATGAGAACAACTCAGTGGTGAACCAAACTATGTATATTTTAAAATGTTTTGTGGAAAGGAACAATGAATAGAAACGGGAGAAGGTCAACATGTGAAAATACTGCTTTCTTTACTTATTACAATCAACTGTGCATCAGTAACAAGTAAACTGATAAATGTCAAATAGAACTGAATTAAGTAAAAGTACTTTTCCAAAACTGACAAATATCAAACAGAACTAAGACTTCCGAGAAATTTTATTAGGTAAAAGTACTTTTCCTTCATTTCGCTATTTACTTATTTGATACAGGTCATGTTTATTCGCATACATAATTTGTTGCATATGCTATTTTCATTATTACACTTAATAACGGTAATATCGTACAGCTGTTTTACTATACTATGACTGCTCATTAATTTGATTTACCATTTGATATGTTTCAAATGGTAATTTAGGATAATGAATTTAAAATATACACAACAACTTCAATACCAATTTCGTTGCCACATTCTCTCATTTACCCTTTCTACTTCTTAAATTATCACTATCTATCAACGACTATTCGTCAGTTAGCACATAGTTTTATTAGAAATTCTCAGGTTATAAACTGAAAATTAAATCATCAAATTCATACTCTTTTCCAAAAATATACGCTTCTAATTTACCCATCTATCGAAAAAGGCTAAAGGTCATGCGGATCTCTTAATTCATTTAAATCGGAATTCGATCTAGCTACATTATAGAGCTGTAAGAAAAAAATTCTTCCTTAAAAACCCTAAAAATCGCTGTAATTAATGAGTTTATTGATGAAATGCATGAGATTTTCTATCCTGCCGGTATGAATTTAAAAAAAACCCGTAAAAAATGAAAGACAAGGCATATTAATTGATCCACGGCAAAGTATCATTTGATCACCAACTTGCTGGGAATAGGTACAAAAACTTCCACCAAACTGGGGGCTGAGCCGGGGATTGATCCCGGGACCTCTCGCACCCTAAGCGAGAATCATACCACTAGACCACTCAGCCGGCCACAATAGGTCCATCTAATAATGAATTCTCGAAATCAATATCAAAACTCATGAATTTTAAAATGGCATGACACCACGGACAATAAGAAACTCATCCAACACATGCTTTCTTGCATGTTATCTTTTCTTACGAACATACCAGTAAAAAAGTCATTTTTATATCATAAAGGATCAAAATTTAATGTAATAAATTATGACTTTTCCAGTCGACGATCAAACCACTCATTCTATCAATTTTTTTCAAAAAATTGCTATTTGAAATGTCTTCAACAGAACACGTGGAATAGAGTAAATGGTTAAGTTTACTGCTGTTGTGGTCCTTTTTTCGAGGACATGATGCTTGATCGCAGCCAACTTACGCAAGAGATTCACAGCTTAGAGTAATGCAGTCCTGGTAATTACTTAAAGAGATACTTCATAATTTTGGATCAAAAATTCTGTTGCACTTCTGAATTTGATTGCGAAATTATAAAAATACTATGACCATCGAGTAATGTATAAAGGACACAGAGCAGAAACACAGAACCTCCTCCATATTTTAAAGTATTTTCAAACTGTTCGAAGTTGATTTTGATTTCCTAAAATCCTATTTCGTATTGAGTTACAATACTTGAACATCCATAACATTTGTTCCGGAAGGCCCAACAATAATGTGCGATCTGCCTTTATTGAATTTCTTCCAGAAATTATAAGAATCATTATTATTCAAATATCTATCAATCACTGTTTTATTCCATTTCGACCACGCTTCATAAATATATTGCATATCACTGCTAGTCAGTACAGCTCCAGCTGCATCTGTTGGTCCATCTTGACCATCGGTACCAGCACTCATCAATGCAAACTCCACTTTTTGTTGCTCGAAACCATATTGCTCAAGCAGTTTCGAAAATACAGCAAGAACAATTTGCTGATTACGACCACCCTTACCGCTTTCTTTTATCGTCACCGTACATTCTCCACCAAATAGCAGAGCAATTTTATCTTAAATAATGCAATTTATCAAATTTGAAATTTTTTGAAAAATTAAATCCAATATTTTAGTTCAGTTAAGCAAAAACAAAGTTTTTTATGAAGCTGTCAATGTATTTATATGGATCACAATCACCTCCAGATGGTGCTGCGTTATTTGCTGATGCGATGTTTGCAGACTGCAGTGCCCAGTTAAGTGGTTTTCCTGCTATCACTTCACTAATAATATTGCAAGCTGATAGCCAAATGAATTAACATCTCCTACAACAGCACTGCTCACCAAATGACACTTATAACCATCTTTTCTTAATGCCTCGTCGACACCTAGTAGTGCAAGTTTGCAACAATTATATTTTGAACATCAGCAACCTAAAAAAGAAGAGAATTTAAACAATGTTAGAAACTTTTATTTTTGTGAATTTCGTCATTTTAAATATATGCCAAAAAGCCTTCAAAAAATTGTACCGTTAAATAACTCCTCATTCATAAAAAATAGAGAAAAAGAATAGGGCTGTCGCGAATTTCGATTCGCGAAACTTCAACCATACAAA